TAAAATGACTTTATCTACAATTCATGATACATTAGTGTGATAGTCAGAGGTATGAATGTTCCTTACACTTGTGGTCATTGGGAAGAATGCTCCTCACAATTGTGGTCATTGGGAAGAATGTTCCTCACAATTGTGGTCATTGGGAAGAATGTTCCTCACAATTGTGGTCATTGGGAAAAATGCTCCTCACAATTGTGGTCATTGGGAAAAATGCTCCTCACACAATTGTGGTCATTGGGAAGAATGCTCCTTACACTTGTGGTCATTGGGAAGAATGCTCCTCGCAATTGTGGTCATTGGGAAGAATGCTCCTTACAATTGTGGTCATTGGGAAGAATGCTCCTTACACTTGTGGTCATTGGGAAGAATGCCCCTTACAATTGAGGTCATTGGGAAGAATGCCCCTTACAATTGAGGTCATTGGGAAGAATGCTTATTCCACTTGTGGTCATTGGGAAGAATGCTCCTTACAATTGTGGTCATTGGGAAGAATGCTCCTTACAATTGTGGTCATTGGGAAGAATGCCCCTTACAATTGAGGTCATTGGGAAGAATGCCCCTTACAATTGAGGTCATTGGGAAGAATGCCCCTTACAATTGAGGTCATTGGGAAGAATGCTTCTTCCACTTGTGGTCATTGGGAAGAATGCCCCTTACAATTGTGGTCATTGGAAAGAATGCTCCTTAAAATTGTGGTCATTGGGAAGAATGCTCCTCACAATTGTGGTCATTGGGAAGAATGCTCCTTACACTTGTGGTCATTGGGAAGAATGCTCCTCACAATTGTGGTCATTGGGAAGAATGCTCCTCACAATTGTGGTCATTGGGAAGAATGCTCCTTACACTTGTGGTCATTGGGAAGAATGCTGTTTACACTTTGGTCATTGGGAAGAATGCTCCTCACAATTGTGGTCATTGGGAAGAATGCTCCTCACAATTGTGGTCATTGGGAAGAATGCTCCTTACACTTGTGGTCATTGGGAAGAATGCTCCTTACAATTGTGGTCATTGGGAAGAATGCTCCTCACACTTGTGGTCATTGGGAAGAATGCTCCTCACAATTGTGATCTTTGGGAAGAATGCTCCTCACAATTGTGGTCATTGGGAAGAATGCTCCTTACACTTGTGGTCATTGGGAAGAATGCTCCTCACAATTGTGGTCATTGGGAAGAATGCTCCTTACACTTGTGGTCATTGGGAAGAATTACCCCCTCACAAATGGCTAAAAAGATCAATGGTGTCAGTGGAACATACCCGAGAGGCAAAAATTGCTCAAGGAACCCCTGGCAACCTCCTGGAGGAACCCTGGTTGAGAACCCCTGTCCTATGTTAATAAGCAAGGAATTGCCAAACAAGTTGGAGCACTGCCCTGGGGGGACCTGTACCAAAGCGATTTTAATAATATGAAGTATTAAAAATGCTCAATTCCTGTAAATAACATGATTGGAGGGGGTCCCTTGACTTGCCTGTGAATTGACAGATCTGTACTCTGTAGAGCTATTCACCCTGAGGTCATCACAGAGGACAAAGGGGCACTCTTTACGTCTGGAGGAAAATAAATTTAATCTCCAAATACGGAAAGGTTTCTTCACAGTAAGAGCTGTGAGAATGTGGAATAGACTCCCTCAAGAGTTGGTTGTGGCCAGCTCAGTGGATTGCTGTAGGAAAGTCCTGGATTCTTTCTTGGATACACAGAATATAACTGGATATAACATTTATAGGTAAAGTTGATCCAGGGAATATCCGATTGCCTCTCGGGGGATCAGGAAGGAATTTTTTCACCTGCAGGAGCAAATCGGATTATGTTTTACTGAGTTTTTTTTACCTTCCTCTGGATCAACTGTGGGTATAGGATTATAACTTTTTTTTCGTTAAACTGGATGGACTTTTCTTTTTTCAGCCAGACTAACCATGTACGAGAGTTTTTAACCCCTTGCCTATTGTGCACTTTCACCCCCTTCCTGTCCAGGCCGATTTTCAGCTTTCAGTGCTGCCGCACTTTGAATGACAATTACGCAGTCATGCAACACTGTACCCAAACAAAAGTTTTATCCTTTTTTTGAGACAGAGTTTCCTTTTGGTGGTATTTAATCACCTCTGGGTAAAAAAAAGACAAAAATGTTTGAAAAAAAAGTTTTTTCTTAGTTTCTGTTATAAAATTTTGTAAATAAGTACTTTTTCTCCTTCACTGATGTGCGCTAATGAGGCTGCACTGATGGGCACTGATCAGGAGGCACTGATAGGTGGAACTGGTGGGAATTGACAGACATCAATGATGGGCATTGACAGGCATCACTGGTGGGTACTGATAGGTGGCACTGATATGTGGCATTGATGTACACTGATATGTGGCACTGATATGTGGCATTGATGTGCACTGGTAGGTACTGATATGTGGCATTGATGGGCACTGGTAGGCACTGATATCTGGCACTGATGGACACTGATATGTGGCATTGAGGTGCACTGGTAGGCACTGATATGGGGCACTGATATGTGGCATTGATGGGCACTGATATATGGCATTGATGGGCACTGATGGACACTGATATGTGGCATTGATGTGCACTGATGGACACTGATATGTGGCATTGATGTGCACTTGTAGGCACTGATATGTGGCAGTAATGGGCACTGATATGTGGCAGTGATGTGCATTGATGGGCACTGATATGTGGCATTGATGAGCACTGATATGTGGTTTTGATGAGCACTGATATGTGGTTTTGATGGGCACTGGTAGGTACTGATATGTGGCAGTGATGTGCATTGGTGGGCACTGATATGTGGCATTGATGGGCACTGATATGTGGCATTGATGGGCACTGATATGTGGCATTGATTGGCACTGATATGTGGCATTGATTGGCACTGGTAGGCACTGATATGTGGCATTGATGGGCACTGATATGTGGCATTGATGGGCACTGATATGTGGCATTGATGGGCACTGATATGTGGCATTGATGGGCACTGATATGTGGCATTGATAGGCACTTGTAGGCACTGATATGTGGCATTGATTGGCACTGGTAGGCACTGATATGTGGCATTGATAGGCACTGGTAGGCACTGATATGGGGCATTGATGTGCGCTGATGGGCACTGATATGTGGCATTGATAAGCACTGATATGTGGCATTGATGGGCACTGGTATGTGGCATTGATGGGCACTGGTATGTGGCATTGATAGGCACTGGTATGTGGCATTGATGGGCACTGATATGTGGCACTGGTATGTGGCATTGATAGGCACTGGTATGTGGCATTGATGGGCACTGATATGTGGCACTGGTATGTGGCATTGACTCAAGACACATCTGCTGTATTCACCTCGGCTTATAGCAATACCTGAAACATCCATCTCTTCAATGACCCCAACACTAATTTGATATATTATGATGATTATGTATACAAACTATGACCACAAAACTGATATTTACAAAGAAATAAGATGCAGTTTAAATTTCCGGCCAATGACAGCTCCCGGATGCTTACTCCTGTTTGTAAACAGGCAGCCGACTATTCACTTCCTCTATACCAGACCGTTCCGGCCCTAGATATGTCTGGTATAGATGTTGTTATTGGGGGATCTATTGCAAAAAAAAAAAAAAAGGTTCTTCCTAAAAATACATCGTAGACCCTTTCCTGAGCATGCAGCCTGGCAGGAGATTGAAACCCCCCATAAGCGTGCACCCCCTTCCTCCTGAACACATTCTACATGCCCTCAGCATGGGGAGTATTGGGTTGCAGCCCTGGCATAGGACCTTGTCCTACACACACTTATATTTGCAACAGAAAATACTTCTCCAAACACCTTCCAGTGCTGCTCATCACCAGAAGCCTAGCCCTATGGTCACATGTTCTGTGCTGAAGGGTCTCCAAGTCTGAATGTTGAACCTCTTCATTATCAGAGATCACATGACCCAGAGCCTAGGCCTGTGGTTGTGTGAAGAGCATACCCCTCCCAGTCCCCATTGGTTCCTGCTCTTCTGACAATGCTGGGGAAATGTAGAAGTGATCTGGGGGGAGGACCAAAGAACCTTTTACTATAGAAGTGATCTGGGGGGAGGACCAAAGGACCTTTTACTGTAGAAGTGATCTGGGGGAGGACCAAAAGGAGCTTTTACTATAGAAGTGATCTGGGGGGAGGATCAAAGGACCTTTTACTGTAGAAGTGATCTGGGGGGAGGACCAAAGGACCTTTTACTATAGAAGTGATCTGGGGGGAGGACCAAAAGACCTTTTACTATAGAAGTGATCTGGGGGGAGGACCAAAGGACCTTTTACTATAGAAGTGATCTGGGGGGAGGACCAAAGGACCTTTTACTGTAGAAGTGATCTGGGGGGAGGACCAAAGGACGTTTTACTGAAGAGGGGAAGTCACAGCTGGTTGGGACATCTACAGAGAACATCTGCTCACTAAATCCTACCTGATTCAGATGGAATCTTGATTTGGGTGAACTCACCCTCGTGTATCTATTGATTATGTTTTTATATTTTTTCCAGGACACGTCATGGAGGGACCCTCAAAGGATCGTCTCACTTTACCTCTAAGCTGTAAAATGGAAGATGAGGACATCACAGGAGATTGCGCAGGAGAAACGACAATGAGCTCAGCTATGGATGGTGGACTTCACAGTGTGGATGGACCATCAAATCCCTCTGACTCTGAGCAACTTCATACTGTGAGGGATGGTGCCGGAATTCAGGGGGAGGAGACATTTTCCTGTCCTGAATGTGGGGAAAGTTTTAGGTCTGAGTCAATTCTTACCATACATCAGCGATCTCACATGGGTGGGAAGCCTCATTCCTGTTCTGAGTGCGGGAAATGTTTTTTTAAAAAATCAGAACTTGTCATACATTACAGATCTCATACAGGCAAGAAGCCTTATTCCTGTCCCGAGTGCGGGAAATGTTTTTCACAATTGTCCCATCTTTACATACATCAGAGGTCACACAAGGGGAAAAAAATATATTCCTGTCCTGGGTGTGGGAAATGTTTTACACGGAAATCAGGACTTGTTGCACATCAAAGAACTCACACGGGGGAGAAAAGCCTTATGCCTGCTTTGAATGCGGGAAATGTTTTACTTGGAAATCAGGACTTGTTCTACATCAGAGATCTCACACAGGAGAAAAGCCTTATGCCTGCTCTGAGTGCGGGAAATGTTTTTCAGAGAAGACCAATCTTTACAGACATCAGAGGATTCACACTGGGGAGAAACCATATTTCTGTAGTGAGTGCGGGAAATCTTTTTCACAGGTATCCCATCTTTACATACATCAGATGTCTCACAAGGGGAAAAAGCTATATTCCTGCTCTGAGTGCGGGAAATGTTTTACACGGAAATCAGGACTTGTTCTACATCAAAGATTTCACACGGGGGAGAAGCTTTATTCTTGCCCTGGGTGCGGAAAATGTTTTTCAGAAAAGTCCAGACTTTACAGACATCAGAGGATTCACACAGAGAAGTCGTATTCCTGTTCTGAGTGCGGGAAATGTTTTTCACAGAAATCAGACCTTGTTACACATCGAAGATCTCACACAAGCAAGAAGCCATTTTCCTGCCCTGACTGTGGGAAATCTTATCCACGGAAATCAAAACTTGTCATACATCAAAGATGTCACACCGGCGAGAAGCCATATTCCTGCACTGAGTGCGGGAAATGTTTTTCAGAGACATCCAATCTTTACAGACATCAGAGATCTCACACGGGAGAGAAACCGCATTTCTGTCCTGAGTGCGGGAAATGTTTTTCACAGAAATCAGACCTTGTTGTACATCAAAGTACTCACATGGGGGAGAAGCTGCATTCTTGTTCTGAGTGTGGGAAATGTTATACACAGAAATCGGACCTTCTAATACATCAGAGATGTCACAGGGGGGATAAGCTGTATTCCTGCACTGAGTGTGGGAAATGTTTTCCATGGCGATCAGGACTTGTTATGCATCAGAGATCTCACACGGGGGAGAGGCCATTTTCCTGCCCTGAGTGCGGGAAATGTTTTATACAGAAATCAGACCTTGTTAGACATCAAAGAGCTCACAGAGGGGAGAAGCCGTATTCCTGCCCTGAGTGCGGGAAATGCTATAGGAGGAAATCAGACTTTGTTATCCATCAAAGATCTCACACGGGGGAGAAGCCGTACTCCTGCCCCGAATGTAGTAGAAGTTTTTTTTTGGAGAAGTCCAAGCTTTACAGACATCAGAGGACTCACAAGGGGGAGAAGCCGTATTCCTGTTCTGAGTGTGGGAAATGTTTTTCAAAGCATTCAGACCTTGTTAAACATCCAAGATGTCACAGAGGTGAGAATCCATATTCATGCACAGAGTGCGGGAAATGTTTTCGAGTGAAACGGAGTCTTTACAGACATCAGTTGATTCACACGGGGGAGAAGCCGTATTCCTGTTCTGAATGCGGGAAATGTTTTTCACAGAAATCAGACCTTGTTCGACATCAGAGATCTCACACGGGGGAGAAGCCGTATTCCTGTCCTGAGTGCGGGAAATGTTTTTTACAGAAGTCAGACCTTGTTAGACATCAAAAATCTCACACACGCGACAAGCCACCCTCCCTTATCAGGGAACAGGGAGAAGCTGGCCTGAGTGTGTGAAATTTTTTTACAGAAATCAGATCTTGTTAGACATCAAAGATTCCAAAGCTGTATTCCTGACCTGAGTGCGGGAAATGTTTTTCACAGAAATCAGACTTTCTTAGACATGAAAGATCTCACATGGGGGAGAAGCTGTGTTCCTGTCCTGAGTGTGGGAAATGTTTTTCAAAGCATTCAGACCTTGTTAGATATCAAAGATCTCACACAGGGGAGAAGCCACCTCCCTCATCAGGGAACAGGGAGAAGCTGGCCCGAGTGTGTGAAATGTTTTTACATAAATCAGATCTTGTTAGACATCAAAGATTCCAAAGCTGTATCCCTGTTCTGAGTGCGGGAAATGTTTTTCACAGAAATCAGACTTTCTTAGACATCAAAGATCTAACATGGGGGAGAAGCTGTGTTCCTGTCCTGAGTGTGGGAAATGTTTTTCAAAGCATTCAGACCTTGTTAGACATCAAAGATCTCACACGGGGGGGAGAAGCTGTGTTCATATCCTGAGTGCGGGAAATGTTTTTCAAAGCATTCAGACCTTGTTAGACATCAAAGATCTCACCCTGCGGAGTGGCTGTGTTCCTGTCCTGAGTGCGGGAAATGTCAGGTCTTCACAAACATCAGAGGATTCACAGGGGGGGGGAAAAAAGCCGCATTCATTTCCTGAAAAGCCACATTCCTGGCTTGAGTGTGGAAAATGTTTTTTTTTTTTTTGACAACATATATGGGTTGACTGTGTTCTCTGATCAACTTTCCCAGGTCATTATAAATAAATATATGTAATAAATAAATGGAGTCCCACCCTGTCAGAGATGTTCCTTTTTTTTTGGTTTTTTTTTTCCTTTTTTGTTTTTTTTTTCTTTTTTTTGTTTGTTTTTTTTGTTTTCCCTTTTTTTTTGTTTTTTTTTTTCCTTTTTTGTTTTTTTTTTTTTTTCCCTTTTTTTTTTTTTTGTTCTTTCTTAATCCTCTTTTTTCTTTTTTAATCCTCCTTTATACCTGTTCCTATGTACCTTACTTTACACATAGTGGTAGGATGCCTAGAATACGTAAACCCGAGGTGAGCAGGTTCACAAAATCCGCTTGTGGCCTCAGAAAAACAAAGAAAGAAATAATATGCACCCATACAAAATTAACCCCTCCCCCTCCAGAGGATCCCCATCCCCCCCCCCCCCCTCCTGACCAGGACATTTTTTGTGATACAGCGCCATGTTACTTTAACTGACAATTGCGCGGTCGCACAACGCTGCACCCAAATGGAATGTCCTTTATTTTTTTTTTTAGAGAGCTTTCTTTCGATGGCATTTGATCGCCTGTGCGTTTTTTAATTTTTTGCGATATTAAAAAAAGAGAAAAAAAACAATATTTTTGACTTTTTGCTATTAAACATGTCCAGTAAAAAATGTAAAAAAAAATCAAATTTCATCATAAATTTAGGCCAAAATATGTCTTTGCTAAAAAAAAAAAAATCCCAATACGTGTAAATGAATTGGTTTACGTGAAAGTTATAGCGTTTACAAATGGCGGTATAGATACTGGGAGTTTTAAAAAAAATTATTTTTACTAGTAATGGCGGCGATCAGCAACTGCGGCGGACATTCTGACACCACTGGGGGGGAACTGACTTGGTGTCACTGACATCCCCAGTGACACCAATACAGTGATCAGTGCTAAAAAAACAAACTGACACTCTACTAATGGCACTGGGCAGGAAGGGGTTAACATGAGGGGCGATCAAAGGGTTAACTGTGTGCTGGGAGTGTTTTACTATGGGGTGGTGTATGTGTGCTTCACTGTAAGCACACTGCTTTGGATGGCTGTGCTGTGCAGTGTGCCCGAGCTGACAGGGAGGAGAACTGTTAGTAACAGGGGTGGACTGACCATTTGGAAACTCGGGCACTGCCCGAGGGCCCGGGGTCAGTAGGGGGCCCTATGAGATGCCCCTGGTATCTTTTTCATAGGCTTTTTTGAGTTTGGGCAAGGACACAGGGGCCCCATGATCCCCTATTGCCTGGGGGCCCCAATGAGTTGTCAGTCTGCCCCTGGTTAGTAAACAAAAAAAAGTTTTTCTTCAGGCTATGGTGGAGTCGAGGAAGTCAGAATAATGGTTTGTGATGCCTCCAGGAAGAAACATGGGGAAGGAGGCTTCCGTTCTCTTTGATCACGGATCATCAAAGTCATCAACTAGATCTGTATGGGTAGCTCTCCTCTGGTGACAAAAGGGATGACTGCTCACTTTACATGCATCCAAGTTTTGGGTGGCATCAATCAAGGCCAGGGGCGGACTGACCATTCGAGCACTCGGGCACTGCCCGGGGTCAGTAGGGGCCCCATGAAATGCCCCAGGTACCTTTTTTTTAGGCTGTTTTGGGTGTGCTTTCAGTGTGGGCAAGGACACGGGTCCCATGATCCCCTATTGCCCGGGGGCCCCATGAGTTGTCAGTCCACCCCTGATCAAGGCTATCTGCAAGGTAGCAACATGGCTGTCACCGAACACGTTGCCGTCTCCCCACGTGCTTTATGGGAAAACTCACATCATTCGCAGCGTCTGCTGCAGCAGTTCTGCCTTTTAATGAACATCTCTAATACACGCTGCCACACCAGACAGGTGAATGACAGAGGTTAAAATATAGGAGATTTCTTCACAGAGACAGGGTTTTGTAAATAAAGCCATGGCCATAGTTGGTCTGATGTCAGCCACCATAAATTTCATATGGGTACAGTGCTGCATGACCACGCAATTGTCATTCAAAATGTGAGAGCGCTGAAAATTGGCCTGGAAGGGGGTGAAAGTGTCCGGACTTGAAGTGGTTAATAAGGCAGGATTCTTACACAACGTCCTTCTAGATAACAACCTGAGTTTAGCAGAGAGTGGAGTCAACCCGTGCTTGATGCCACAGAGGTAGCCAGGAATGGACATTTTTCCTAGATGTTGGTAATCAGTTTTCCATTTTCACAGAAGTTCTATGTCACCAAACCTTAAAGAAGCCCACACAACCACCGAGGTGTATTAGCCAGATCCTTGGCCGACAAAAGAATGTGAGTATGGTGGCTGACATCACTGACCAACTACGGCCATGGCTTGATTTACAAGAATCCTGTCTCTTTGAAGAAACCTCCTATATTTGAACCTCTGTCATACGCCTGTCTGGTGTGGCAGCGTGTATTAGAGATATTCATTACAAGGCAGAACTGCTGCAGCAGACGCTGTAAATGATGTGAGTTTTCCATAAAACACGTGGTGGCAGTTGTGTGTGGGTGGAAGGTTAAGTACGGAGTCCACCAACCTAGAGACGTTCACGCTCAATCTACTGATACTTAGATTATTGTCCCATTGGTGGCAAATCTCTGTGCAGATTGAGGCTGAGAGCACCCTCCATGTATACTAGTGAAAGCGGCGGGATAGTGATGCGGCACTCATCATAGATTCCTGGCAGCAGCCGAGATCTTTACCAATGACTCAACATGAACGCAAACCTTACAAAGTTGAAAACGTAACCCCTTCCATACGGGCACTTATACCCCCTTCCTGCCCAGGCCAATTTTCAGGTTTCAGCTCTCACATTTTGAATGACAATTGCGCGATCATGCAACACTGTACGTAAACTAAATTTTTATAATTTTGTTCACACAACTAGAGCGTTCTTTTGGCAATATTTAATCACCACTGGGGGTTTTATTTTTTGCTAAATTAACAAAAAAAGACCGAAAATTTTGAAAAAAAACCCTACGTTTTTCCTTGTCTCTGTTATAAAAGTTTGCAAATAAATAATTGTTCTTCATAAATTTAGGCCGAGATGTATTCTGCTACATGTCTTTGGTGAAAATAACCCAAATTAGGATGTATTATTTAGTTTGTAGGAAAGTTATAGAGTTCACAAACTATGGGATAGATCTGAAAATTGATCAATCCTGAATTACTGACGGCCAATCTAATTTCTTGAGGTCCAAGAATGTCAGAACAGTACAGATATCCCCCAAATATCAGGACAGTACAGATATCCCCCAAATGTCAGAACAGTACAGATATCCCCCAAATGTCAGAACGGTACAGATATCCCCCAAATGTCAGGACGGTACAGATATCCCCCAAATGTCAGGACGGTACAGATATCCCCCCAAATGACAGGACAGATATCCCCCAAATGTCAGGACAGGACAGATATCCCCCCAAATGTCAGAACGGTACAGATATCCCCCAAATGTCAGAACAGTACAGATATCCCCCAAATGTCAGGACGGTACAGATATCCCCCAAATGTCAGGACAGGACAGATATCCTCCAAATGTCAGGACGGTACAGATATCCCCCAAATGTCAGAACGGTACACATATCCCCCAAATGTCAGGACGGTACAGATATCCCCCAAATGTTAGAACGGTACACATATCCCCCCAAATGTCAGGACGGTACAGATATCCCCCAAATGTCAGAATTGTACAGATATTCCCCAAATGTCAGAACGGTACAGATATCCCCCAAATGTCAGAATTGTACAGATATTCCCCAAATGTCAGAACAGTACAGATATCCCCCAAATGTCAGAACGGTACAGATATCCCCCAAATGTCAGAACGGTACAGATATCCCCCAAATGTCAGAACGGTATAGATATCTGTTGGAGAAACTTCAGGCTGGACACCGGTGATTAGGAAAACAAGTTGATTGGTTTATTTCATGCGCATGGAGAAAACACAATACAAACAGGTAACCTCACTTGCCAATGTGTGTTCTGACTAAATTTAAAGTTCTAGACTCTTATAGTCTTCATTGGTGAAGTATTCCCTCGTGCTCAACTCATGTTATCTTCATGCAGTCTATGCGATATCCTGTCGTGTATGTATGTGACAGGTTCAGCCGTTTGTGGTTAGTTTCGGTTATCTTCTCCAAAACAGAGCACAGTTTCCTTGCAAGGACATCTGGAGATATTTCCTGTGCATGGGCACATGTTTATCTCGAACAAGCACATTCATTAGTACAATTATAAAACAACATTTTATAGGTTCATTTAAAGCATAACTCTAGCTGCGTAGAATAAAAACTTCCTGCCTTAGCCCATACTTCTAACAATATCCCCCAAATGTCAGGACAGTACAGATATCCTCCAAATGTCAGGACGGTACAGATATCCCCCAAATGTCAGGACGGTACAGATATCCCCCAACTGTCAGAACAGTATAGATATCCCCCAAATGTCAGGACAGTACAGATATCCTCCAAATGTCAGGACAGTACAGATATCCCCCAAATGTCAGGACAGTACAGATATCCCCCAAATGTCAGAACGGTACAGATATCCCCCAAATGTCAGGACGGTACAGATATCCCCCAAATGTCAGGACGATACAGATATCCCCCAACTGTCAGGACGATACAGATATCCCCCAACTGTCAGAACGGTATAGATATCCCCCAAATGTCAGGACGGTACAGATATCCCCCAAATGTCAGGACAGTCCAGATATCCCCCAAATGTCAGGACTGTACAGATATCCCCCAAATGTCAGAACGGTACAGATATCCCCCAAATGTCAGAACGGTACAGATATCCCCCAAATGTCAGAACAGTACAGATATCCCCCAAATGTCAGGACAGGACAGATATCCCCCAAATGTCAGGACAGTACACATATCCCCCAAATGTCAGGACGGTACAGATATCCCCCAAATGTCAGAACAGGACAGATATCTCCCAAATGTCAGGACGGTACAGATATC